GCAGCGGCGCTCCCACCCGAGGGTTCGGATCCCACATACAGACCGGTTCCCGCTCACTGGCTGAGCGAGGCGCGGGGGCAACGCCAAGGGTTGCGGTCCCGTTGCCGGTCCCGGTCCGGTGCGGGGGCGACACTGAGGGTTGCGATCCGTTGCCGGACACGGAAAAAGACAAAAAGGAAAAAAAAAAAAAAAAAAAAAAAACAAGTGCAAAACTTACACTTTGAAAACAAAAAAACATTTTTGAAAGAAATTACAGAAGATCTAAATAAATGGAAAGGCATCCTATGTTCATGGACTGAAAGACTTAATATTGTTAAAATGGCAATACTCCCTAAATTGATCTACAGATTCAATATAATCTCTATCAAAATCTCAGTTGACTTCTTTGCAGAAATTGACAGGTTTATCCCTAAATTCATATGGAAATTCAAGGGACCCAGCAAAGCCAAAACAATCTTAAGAAAGAACTGGGAGGACTTATACTTCCTAATTTCAAAACATATTACAAAAACTACAGTAATTAAGACAGTGTGGTACTGGCATAAGGACAGCCATAGAGATCATGGACTAGAACTTAGAGTCCAAAAATACCCTCCCATTTATGGTCTATTGATTTTTGACAAAGATACCAAGACAACTCAATAGGAGAAAGAATAGTCTTTTCAACAAACAGTGCTTGAACAACAGGATATCCATATGCAAAAGAATGAAGCTGGACACCGACCTCACACCACATACAAAAAAACCCAATGTCCCTTCATGATAAAAACACTCAACAAACTAGGAACAGAAGTGAACTTCATCAGCCTGATCAAGGGCACCTACAAAAAAACACACAGCTAACATCAGTGGATCAATGACCTGAATGTAAGACCTAAAACTATCAAACTCTTAGAAGACAACTTAAGTGTAAATCTTCACGACCTTGGTTAAAGCAATGATTTCTTAGATATAACATCAAAAGCCCAAGCAACAAAAGAGGAGATCGATACACTAGACACCACCAAAATTAAAAACTTCCATGCATCAAAGGACATTATCAAGAAAAGACAACCTCCTGAGGATGTGGAGGAATTGGAACCCTCATATGCTATGGTGGGAACGTACAATGGTGCAGCCACTGGAAAACAATTTGGTAGTTTTTCAAACAATTAAAACATAGAGTTACCATAGAATGCAGCAAATCCACTCCTCGGTGTATATCCAAGAGAAGTGAAAACGTCTGTCTACACAAAAACCTGTGCATGAGTGTTCATAGCATCAGTATTCATAACATTCAAAAAGTGGAAACAACCTAAATGCCTATCAACTGATGAATGGATAAACAAAATGTAGTAAATCCATACAGTGGAATATCATTCAGCCATAAAAAGAGATGAAGTGCTGATACGTGCCACAACCTGCATGTACCTTGAAAACATTATGCTAAGGGAAAGAAGCCAGTCACAAAAGGACGACAGATTGTATGATTCCATTTATATGAAATATCCAGAATGGGCAAACCTATAGACATAGATATCAGTAGATTAGTGTTGCCTAGTGCTGGGATGGAGGGGTGGGTGGTGACAGGTAAGGGGCTGGGGTTTCTTTTGGGGAGTAATAAAAATGTTCTAAAACTAATTGCAGTGATGGACGCACTACTCTGGGAATATACTAGAAGTCATTGAAGTTTATACTTCGGATGAACTGTATGGTATGTGAATTATAACTCAATAAGGCTGTTTTTTAAAAATGACACAAGCAGAGCATGGGAGGTTGGTGGCCAGAAGGAGGGCAGCCCCTCCCTCTCCCAGGGAGCCAAGGTGGGAAGGTAGATAACCTTATGGCAGGACATGTCTTCAGAAGTTCAGCTGGGCAGGTCAGCGCTGGGCACTGCCCAGTAATCTGTACCCACCTCCCGCTGCCTCCACCAAACAGGTTAGGGACCCTCTGCCTAGGCACTGAGTGGTTATATGTCAAGGCTGCATGACTAGTGACTGGCAGAGCCACAGTTAAAACCCCAGCACCCAACCCCCAGGCTCTGACCCTGCCCTTCCCTGGCCATGGCTGGGGGCTCCTGCCAGCCCAGAGGATAATGGCCCTGAGGAGTCACTTGTGCTGCATCAGCGGCCACTCACCTGTAGCCCTCAGCACAGAGGCAGGAGTAGCTGTTGAGTTTGTCCACACACTGGGCCCCATTCTGGCAGCGGTGACCCTTGCAGTCATCCTGGTTCTCGCTGCAGTTGTCACCAGCGTATCCTGGCGCACACTCACACCTGGGGGTAGGCAGGGGTGGGTGGGTGGTCAGCCGCACACTCAGCCCAGAGCTGGGGTGGCCAGGAGGAGGGTCAGGGCCTGCATGGGCTGTGTGTGGCCCTCAAGTTCCAGTGGTCTGTGTGGACCCCCAGGAGGCCAGACAGAGCCCAGGATGTACAAGGGCTCCCAGCCCATCCTGGGAGCCTTTTCTACTGCAAGAAAAGAGCTTGTGTGGACTTTAGGTGGGGGCCCTGGGCTGGGAGAGTGGACGCCTAGCCATAGGAGGAGATGGAATCTTGTCATGGAGGACCCACCCTCACCACCACCAGCATCTCCAGTGCCAAGCTGCACTCCTTCCCGACCTGCCCAGCTGCTCAGCTGCCCCCTCCTAATTCTCCCAGGACCCCCCATCCCATGGCCGTGAGTCACACAGGCTCATGTATCCCTCATCCCCCAGCTCCCAGCCCTCAGCAGAGCTAGTGCCCGCCTCTCAGTGGGTGCCTTGACTCCAGGCCAGCCTCCAGCTCCCCAGCTCTAGACTTTATCTCACTGCTCACCCGAAAGTCCATTTTGGCCAACTATTTGCCTACCAAATAAAGTGCACACTCTTCTACCCACTTTCCAGTTATGGCCTTGCAAGATGCTCCCTATCCTGCAGGCTCCTGATCCCCCCACACCAAGCCCACCCCACCAAGCACTTCCCTGCCTTCACACCTGTTCATTTTGGAATTCCCTGTCCTCTCTCCCTGCATGATCCAGCTAGGCCAATACCTCCCCTCCTCCAGTCAGCCTCTGGTGAACACTCCAGCCCTCATTCCAAACTCCGCAGCTCAACCACTCAACCTGGCAGACAGGTGCTCCTGCCTGGGTTTTCTACTCAATCCCTAGCACAGTGTTTTTCAGACTATAAGAAATACCTTTCAGCCCAGCAACACACACACCCCAAACCAGTTTCACACAACAATACTTATCCTTACTGTATATAATGGTCCTTTGCTCGTGGATATTTGTTTTATTTTTTAATGTTAATCTTGACCCACCCAATGGATCACAATCTACTAATAGGTCTTGAGCTTCAGTCTGAGCTAAGTTACTACCCAGTCATTAATTTTATTCACTACATTCATTCATTCATTCATTCATTCAATGGCTGTAAATTGAACATTGCTGGGTTCCAGGTACAACACCAGGCACAGCTGAGTGCCTGTCAGTTCCACCTTTCCACCAGGACAGGAAGTTGAGAGAGCATGCACTAAACACCCTGCAGTGTGCTGCAGCCCCAGGCCCAGGGCCGAGTGCAGTGCTCATTTTTCATGGCACGAGGGACTATGCCAGCAGTTCCAAACTAGACAATATGCAATCCTGCCTTATTGCACCCTCTGAGGTCCGGCCCTCTGAGGAGGTCACATACCACTGATCTGCTGCTGCAACCCCTGCCCTGCAGCTCACCCAGGAGTGCAGCATCCATCCATCTGGCTAGACTATTGGCTCCCTGGGGATTCCACCCCCGGCATTGGCCTGGGTCCCTGGGCATGGGTGCCTCAGCCACAGACTCCAAGCATCCTGCCCTGACCACCCCTTGCTGCCCTGGCTGGTAGGATGGGGTGGGGGTGGCCCAGAAATGAGGCTCTGCTTGAAAAACTACAGATGGGAACAGCATTTTAAAACCCATGACCTTCGTACAGCAGCCTCCAAGTGACAGAGCACTTCCACATATGCCAGTAACAATGATGGTGACAATACATTCAACAACTCCTTATCCAAACCTCCTGGGGCCAGATAGGTTTTGGATTTTGGAACTTTTAGGATCTGGGGAAGGTCATACATTGCCTAGAACTGTCACACATTGCACATAACTTGCCTGTGGGATTTGAGGCAGCTCCATGATCAGGTGTTCACATTTCTGCAGCAAAATCTATGCATGTTCACACTGCATGGGCTAAATAACAACTGTAGACACTATCAGTGCATGTCAGCTTTTATTTCCAAGTAAGTTCAGGTTAGATAGATTTTGCCATCAGATGGACTTTCAGTTTTCAGTTTTGTGGATTTTATAATTGGGGATAAGCTATTGTGGCTCTGGAATGCTAATAGCTGTTTATGGAGCACTGATCAGATGTCAGGCATGGAGCTAAGTGCTTTCCATGCATTTTCTCAGCAAATCTTTGCAACTGCCCGAGGAGGAAGTACTGTTGCACCCAGTTTACAGATGGGAAAACACGCTCAAAGCCGCCAAGCAATCTACTCAGAATCACGCTGCAAACCCAGGTCTGTCTGGCCACAAAACCGTGCCAATAACCACCCTTGCCTTGACTCTCAGGAACCCCATACACCTGAGACAAAACCCTCTTGACAGGGGAGTACATAGGATGGGAATGGGTGGAATCCAGCCTGATGTCCCTGGCCCTGGAAATGGGCAACACTGACCTGGGCCCGTCCGGGGTGCCCACACACCGGGCCTCATGTTGACACGGGTTCAGATCCGGGGAGCAGAAGTCCACCAGCTGCTCACAGGCCCTTCCTGGGGAAAGAGTGAACGAGAGGAAGGAGAGAGGCTGCTCTCCTGTGCTCTGCAGGCAGCCAGGCCAGCAGAACCCTCTGGTAGACACCGAGGGGACCAAGCCCTTCCACCCACCATGGGGGCACAGGGGGTGTGTTCTGGTCCCCCGTCCCCCAGGCACTTGAGTCCCACCATGCTTACCCATGTACTGCAGGGGGCACTGGCAGGTGTAGCTGCCCACGCCGTCCACACAGGTGCCCCCGTTGGCACAGGTGTGCTCCACACAGTCATCCGTGTTCACTCCACAGGTTGGTCCTTCAAAGCCAGTGGGACAGGAGCACCTGTGGGGCCCAGGGGAGGGTGGAGAGGCAGCCTTCATGGAGCACTGGTGGAGGCCTGTGGCTGCCAGCCTGTGTCACCATTCGACAGTTATCGTTCCTATTCTGGGCCAGGCCCTTACTAGGTGCTGGGGGGGTTAGAGGTAAACGAGATGGCCCTGCTCTCATGGGACTCCCTCACAGTCTAGCGGGGAGATGAAGAGGAGACAGGCAGCCAGCAGAAAGCTCATGAGCACCAGGATGGTGTAGGCACCGAGGCCAGGGAGGATACTCAAATGGGCAGAGGTCTCCTGACTCCTTCTTGGGGGGGAGTGGTCAGGGCAGTCTTCCTGGAGGAGGTGATGAATTAACCAAGGACCCTGACAGCACAGAGCAGGACGGGGAGGTAAGGTGATTGGGGCAGAGGTGTACATCAAAGCCTGGAGTGAGAGGAAGCCCCACTGGTAGGGGATCTGCTCATCCATATGGCTCAGGACTACAGGAGCACAGACCATAGGGATGGGTGAGCATAGGTCTGGGGGTGAGCAGGAGCCAGGTTGTGGAGGGCTCTGGAGATCAGTGATCTTCAAACAGGTATGCCTTCCTCTGGGGCACCCAAGGCTTTCCAAGCAGTGTGTGGGTCAGAGAGAGAAGTTCAAGAAAATAATTTCCAGATCTTTACATTTCTGCACGAGCTCTTCCCTGAACTGACTGCCCCAAAACTCCAGAAAGGCACACCTCTCCCAGCCCAAGCCCAAGGTGAGACAGGCATCCTGGCACCAGATAAAGGGACAATTAGGAATATGGATATTGACAAAGTGAATAAACAAACACTTCTGTAAGTCAAGAGATTTCTAGTTCTGTGTGTTAAAGGTAATTGAAGGGAGACCACATGGAACTGTCAACTGAGAGGGCATTAAAAATAATTTTGATGACAGATCGCTTTGGACTTTTGGGCATTTAAATTGGGAAGGGTTTCCAAGAATTGAGTGACATGGCTATAATAAAAGTCCTTCTAATCCCATTGGTTTATTTATGTGAACGAACTTTCCCAGCACTTATACCTGTAAAAACAAAACAAAACAGGCTTAGATTGACTGCTGAGCCCTCCCTCATTCTATAATATTCATCATGGACTCATGAACCAACTGAGAGCAGAAAAGAACAGAGTGCCCCATTTGCCTCACTGAGGGACACAGTCTAATGAAATGTTACTTTCATGTGTAATAATTATTCATCAAATTTTATAAAGCAGTTATGTTGCTTTGAACTACCGCGTATTATTGCTAATTGTGACAATAATTAAGAAACAGTTAATCAAAGGTTTATGGTGACAAGGAATAAGAAAAAAACTTTAAATTTTCACTTATGTCCCCACGTTGGTGGCAGGGTGCTCTGGGAAAGACTGTCTGGCAGAAAAACATTACATTAGAAGAAAAGTGGGGAGAGTGGGGAGTAAAACGAAAACGCTAGTTCAAGGAGAAAAAAGAACGAGGTAAATTTTTTAACTGTTAAAGAGGAGCTTGTCGGTGTATTTTTAAATGGTATCAAATTGCTGTGCTATTCAGATCCCATTGGAGAACGATGAAAGAGTGATTTAAAGAGATAGTTTTATTTTTAAATGTTAAGATTTACAATATCCGGGAAATTATGTACTGTGCAATCAAAAGTTAAACCTACAGTGAAAAATTGTAGCTGTCAATCTAAGAAGGGGTGCACAGTTTTAAAACTATCTAACCTGGGGGTGTATAGTTTTAAAAAATGTGTTTGGGGGTGTGAGTAAAATGGTTTGAAGACCACTATCGCTGGGCGTGATCGGGAGTTTAGTTTTCCTCCCCACAAAGGCTGGAGGGTATCAGCAGAGGGGTTTGAAGCTGGAAGTGACAGGATCAGCTTTGTGTCTCAGAAAGCCCCCTCTGGCGGGAGATGGGGCCAGGCAGTGGGTGTAACAGAGGATGGCCTGGTGAGCCTCAGGGTTGAGAGGTCAGTCGGAGGTACCCCTTTCTACCTGGAAGACCCAGCCACGGCCACCCCATCCATAAGGCCGCTAGGTGCGAGGGGGCTGCCCGCAGGGGGAGTTTCTGGGCCATGCCCTTTCAGCCCCCAACTAGGGAGTCTCAGGAAGGGGAGGGGGAGCTTCGATAGAGCTGCTGTCAAAGCCCAGAGGAGGGCGGAGCCTATCGTAAGGACGCCGTTGCCAAGGCGACGCCGAGAAGAGAGGCCATTTAGTGTTTTATTTTTCACATCTGGTAATTCGAGTTTGCAGTGGAAGGTTTAGCCATTTCTGCCAGTAGATTCAACATCAGTTTCTGAAGAGCCTATTTGTTTGGCCGGCAATTTATTTCAGCAACTAAATAATATTTGTATACATTTCTCAGAAAAGCTCTGGGGGGGGCCGTTGGGGGGCCCTGGGGGAAGCAGGATCAGTGTCAGGGTCGCGGATGGCAATGTCAGCATTGGGAAGACTTAAGAGACGATGTCATCGAGTCTGGCCCCTTCACTGCACAGTGGGAAGTGGCCGCTCAAGGTGGGGCCGGTGGGGTGTCCCTCCGTCCAGTGACCAGTGTGACTCATGAGCTGGTGGGGGGAGGCCCCCAGAGGGGGTGACCAGGACTTGGCTTCCACCTCTGGGCAGGCCTCGTCCACCCAGCGGCAGCCTCAGCTGTGTCTCAGGACTGGGGTGGCAGGTTGACAGGAGGGGACCGGTAGGCCCCGCCTTCAGACAAACATTGGCCTTGCGAGCTGACCAGCTGTTAGACTTAACAATGGACTTAGACTGAAGGCTCTGAGGGTTAATGGGCATTTATGGGAGTCTCAAATGACCCCAATCTGCCCTTTGGCACTGCCACTGCATACGCCCCTGGCCATGGATTCCCAGTGGTCATAAGACCCTCCCGGCACCTGGCAAGAGCAGAAGGCAGCAGCCCCCCCCTGCCTGCTGGGTGGCTCCGGCAGGCCCGCGTCTCTGTGCTTTCACCTCACCTGGCAGTAAGAGGCTTGCCCCGGGTGGGCTTGGAGAGCCCCCTGGCTGTGATTTGGAGTCCCTGCTGATCCCTCTGAGCACAGGGAGGCCTGACCATCCCCGCTGGGGAAGGAGGGCTCCGAGGCTTGAGTGCTGGGCCCATCAGCACCCCACCCACGAGGTGCTGGGTGTCCAGACAACTCACGTGAAGCCAGCACCTTCACCTTCCTGCGTGTGGCAGGTCCCGCCATTTCCACAGGGGCTGCTGGAACAGCTGTCCAGGGACACCTCGCAGTCTCGGCCCTGGGAGGAAAAGTTAGCAATGGGGACCCCAGGGAGAGCCAGGGGAGAGGGGTATAGTGGTTGTGTGTGCCAACAGAGCCAGCCAGCCCCTCAGCAGCTGGGCATCCCTCTCCCAGGCGCTGCTTGTTCCTTCATTCATTCACTCATTCATTCATTCATTCATATGTTAAGTCACCGATTAAAGGTTCACTCAAGCGCCTGCTCTGAACCAGGCACTGGTCTGGGCACTGGGGACAGCTTGGTGAACCTTGCCCAGGCCCTGCCTACAGCATACACAAGGAGCCCCCTCCTCCCTGCCTCAGCCTCCACTCACCTTATAGCCGCTGGGGCAGGCACACCTGTACACCTCAAGGGGGTCATTGTGGCAGGTGCCCTGGTTCTGGCATGGGCTGGACAAGCAGGGGTCACACTTGGCCTGGACAGCCAGAGTGGGGGGACCTGAGGCAAGGGAGAAGGCGTTAGTGCAGGGAGGAGGCGGTGGGCAGCTCAGGGCTGGGCACAGGCCCCTTACCCCAAGGAGCCTGGCCCTGCAGACCAGCTGTAGGAAGCCCCCTCCCCAAGGAGACTTTCATCCCTCCCTGTATTTCTCCCTCGCCCTCTGGCATAGTACATCTTTCTGGGCCTCTGGCCCCTTCTCTGTCAAATGGGGTTAAGGACAGCCCCTGCCTTAGGGCTGGGAAGACTATCGGAGCGAATCTGCAGGTGCTTGGCAGGCGCTCGCGGCACATGCGTGGCTAGGGCCACATCATGGGTGTGAGAAAGGCACAGTCGCTATCACTGCAGTCGGCTGGCATTTCCTCCATCCCCTCACAGGCCTCCAAAGCAATTACCCCCAGCCTGATGCCCACTGGCCAGGACAGGGAAGGTGGCCACCTCAGCAGAGAGGAGACGCAGCTCTGCAGAGAAGCCCATCAGGGGACAGGTCCTCAAGATTGTTCCTCTCCAAGCCTGAACCAGGGGGACCCTTTTCTGTCACCTCCGCAGCTACAGCAGGCTCTTCTCCAGCCCCACAAGGTGGGCAGAGAAGCTGGCAGCCAGGCTATCTGGGGCGCCCCCTGTACAGGGCATTAGGATCCCACAAGGCCAGTTAATTCCAGTTTCTCTATCAGACTCCTAGAAGCAGTAGAATATCAGTTCTGCTGAGAGGCATGAGCATGAACCGAAATAAAAACGCTTTTTAGCAATGACTGGAAGGACACATGAGGGACGTCTGGGGTACAGGCAGGGTTCTGTTTCCTGATCCTTGTGCTGGTTACCTGTGTGAATTCAGTTTGTAAAAATTCAGTAGGCCATTCATTCATGGTCTGTGTCCTTTTCTGTATGTGTGTTATTCTTCAGTCCGAAGTTTTTAAAAAACCACTTCTCACCAGCACCAACCCCACTCCATTAAATAAATACTGAGCAAATGTTTCAACATAAATTGGCTTGCTTCCAACAGACCGGCCCCTCTGAACTATTCCTGCTGTGACAGCATCCTGCACACAGGGTGGCCCAGGACCTCCTCATTAACCTATGGCTGTCAGTTTCATTTCCGATGGTGGCCTCTGAGCTTACAGAGGCCAGGGGCGGTGCCCTGTGGCCTCCGGTGCCCTCCCCCAGCTGACCTGCTGTACACAAAGCAGGGCCCGGGGCAGCCCCTCAGCCACCTGTCTCTGCTCAGTGGGGCCTCTGGGGCTCCTGCTGTCAGTCAATCAACCCCTGAACAAGTATTTACAGACGCCCAAGGTGAGGTGAGGAGTCTCAGAGCCAAGCCAGGCGAGCCTCCAGCCCCACTCTAGCTCGGTATTTCTGCAAATGTCAGGAGTGGCAGCTGCGTCCACTGGTCCACCAGGGACTGAGAGGGGTTTAAGCAAATTGCTGAGCGCAATTCCTGGCAAAGGGAGGTCTGACTACTCGTGCTGCTGAGAGGCTTGGAGTTTCCAGAAACACTGTTGCTATTTTTATTTTCCTTACATAACCACAAGGAGGGATTAAAGCTCTGATGGCCTGAGATCTTCCTGCCTGGCTGTTTTTGTTCATTATATGTCAGGACTGGAAGGCAGCCATCCTAACAAGCAGCCACCTGACCCCTCCATCCAGCGGTCACAACAGGGACACAGGAGTGTCTAGAAGGCCCTGCCAGGGTTGGGTGAGTCCTGTTGAGCAGTAGGAGGTGGGGACGCAACCTGTACTCACCGCCCCTCTCTCAGACTCCTGGGCTCACCTTGGCATTCAAACTTCTTGGCAGGCGTGGTGAGGAGCAGCTTTCCCTCCATGTCTGGGGGTCCAGCACAGCGGGCAATGCCCGGTTCCTTGTAGCCTGTCTTCACCCAGCTGGACAGCCAGCGGAGGTGGCAGTCACAGTACAGGGGGTTGGCACCGATGGCCCTGGGGCAGAGAGCAGAGTGAAGCAGGCATCACAGTTTCATTGGCCCTTCCCCCACTGGGCACTAGGGTCCCAGGCCTGTGCTGAGGCTGGCAAATGCCCCAATAACCCCCATTTCATGAGCATTACTGTGTAGCCAGCACATTTTAAACACTTTATATGCATTGTCTTACTTAGTCCTCACCATGCCTTTTAACCCCATTTTACATGTGCAAAAATCAAGGCTCAAGAGGTTGAGGAACTCGCCTAAGATCAGCTTAAGCCTCCTGACCAGCTACAGAGCAGACCACAGCACCTGTTTTATGTCAATAATTGTTTATTTTGTTCTCCCTTTTTTCCCACTACCTTATGTGAAGGACACCAGTAGAGCTAACATTTCGATTCGATTCCTGATGGGAGTGTAACTGAACTGACATCATCACGGTAAGATTCAATAGCTGATGGGTTTCCACTGTGTTGGAGCCATAGCTTCTTCTGTTGACAGAGGATTAGAGCAGGGGCCAAACGTGCAGGTGGACTCTGTCTGCCCTCCAGCTCTGCTCTGTGCCCTGGCGGCTGCTCTATAGAGTCTGTGCTACCCATGTTCCCTTGTCCTCTGGCTTTTGGTTGGGTTTGTCAATGGGCAGCAGCAGCAGGAGACTGGAAGATGAGAGGAAAGAGGGATTGGAGTGTTTTTCCCCCAGCTGCCTTTATGCCAAATCTCCGTTCAGAATAACAGCTTAAGGCCACAGATTCTGTTTGGCAGCCTCTCCTATGACCGCAGCTCTTCCTGAGCTTCAGTACCATCGCCTTTTCTTTACCCCTTCACGATTAAGGACAGAAACAGTTTCCCAGTGCTGCTAGCCCCAGGTGCCTCATCGTCCCTTGCTGCTCCCTTAATCCTGCCCACATCATCATAAATAGTCCCTTCTTTAACCTCCCTGAAATTGCCCTTTTGGATTTTCTGTCTCTTTCCTGCTATGATCTTAACAGATGTAAATGATTTCATTCCTCAGAGCAGAAAACTGAGGCACAGGGATAGGCACAGCTCCTCCCTGACTGCCCACAAGAGGAACTCTGGGAACCTGATCACACAGAGGACACCCCTCTAGAAACCTCCTTTTCTGTATTCAGATCACGAAATGCTTTACAGGTTGGCGAAAAAGGTTTTACAAAGAGGGAAACAGGGTTAGTGCAAGGTGGGTCTCCAACACAGGATTCTAGGGCCCCAGTACAGAACACTTCCCTGCCATCTGCTGTCAATGACTTCACAGAAGAGTCCTGTGTGTCCAAAGGGTGCCTCTGTCTTGAATGTGTGGCCCACCCCCTTCTGCCAAATGACCTCCTGGGGGGGCCATGGATAGCCCACCCCTCAAGCAGTGCCTCAGCTTTCCGTCACTCAATCATTCATTCACACACACACACACACACACACACAAGCACACACACGCACTCACCTGCACACACATACACACACAGGCACACATGCGTGTGCACACACACACACACTGACTGACTCCTCCCCATGTACCAGGCACTGAACCAGGCATGAGGATATTGATGATTTTAGCTGTCTCACGAGACAGATGGAAGATCTCCTAGTCAAAAAGAGATCACTCTTAAAATGTGAAGGAAAAATGGGAAATAGTTAAATACCCATAATGGTAAATTATGTAGATATTAAAGATATTTATAAAGAATTGGAAACAACACAGAAAGTGTTTATGACAAAATGTTAAGAGGAAAAAACACGATACAAAATTGCTATGCAGTATACTTCACACCATGTCAAATGCATAAGGGAAAAATGAACTGGAAGAAAACACACCAAAATGCTAATCATGGGATGTAGGGTGACATTTTCCTGTATTTAACAACTTTCTTATAATAGGTCTCTATTACTTTATGTCTTGTTGTAACCTACTTAATTATGTAAGTAGTTTTGTTGTTGTTGTTTTTTTTTTCCTTTTTGAGACCGGCTGCACCGTGCTCAACCAGTGAGCACTGTGAGCACCGGTCATCCCTATATAGGACCCGAACCCGCGGTGGGAGCGCTACTGCGCTCCCAGTGCCGCACTCTCCCGAGTGCGCCACGGGCTCGGCCCGTAAGTAGTTTTGAAAAAATATTTTTTAAATATTCCAACTGTACGTATGGAACAAAAAAGCCCACTTGAGGGTGTCGCTCACTCCCAGTTCCTCCCGAGACAGTCACTGTTTTCAGTTTGCTTTGTCTGCTGTCTTATATAGAGAGAGAAATAAAGTTAATACTTATGGGAAGTTTTAACACAAATAATACATTATACAAATTATTCTACAACTTCACTTTTTTCACTTAATAATAAAGCTTCGGGATCTTTCCACAACCCTGTATACATATCTAGCTTACCTTTAATAGGTAGGTCCTAATATGGCTATTCCTCTATCTATTTAATATTCAGGACATTTAAGGTTATTTCCATGTTGTCACTGTTAAAAACAAATTGCAATGAACAGTCGCACAGATGTCTCTTTGCACATGTGTAGGACTATGTTTCTAGAAAGACACTAGGAAGTGGAATTTCTTGTTAAATTTTTGGATATTTTAATTTTAAAGTTCCCCATAGACAGATCAGATCCCCCCAGACACCACTGGCTACTTCTGAGAACAGCAGGAAACACTGGTCAGCGGGCCCTAGGGCTCTGGAGGTGGGGTTTCCTAGCCTCCCTAGAGCCCTTGGGGCTGCACCCAGAACTATAGACCCTCCACATCTGCCCACCAGATGTTTCCTGCAGATCAAGCCATGGGTCCTGCCTGGTAACAGCCACCTGCAGTGTCTTACTTAATATTTAAATCATGAAAAATGTGGGGCCTCTGGAGAAAGGTTTCTCAAGGAAAGCCTACCAACCACTGAAGCTCACCACAGACCTTTCCATCTCATGCAGAAAGGAGTTGCTTTCTCTAAAGAACTGTCCCTTGGAGGCCTGAAAGTCAGAGGCAAGCATTACAACATTCCAAATACTTAATTTCTAGAAGAAACATAACCTAGAATGACTATCATTGCTTTATGTGAAATGTCGTCTTTAGTTGCAGAAGCAAAATGAATTCCAGCTCAACCCAAGCACAGCTGTCTGTGATTCTGTCTGGCCCTGTGCTCAATGAAGGGTCCCCAGAAGGGGGCCCACTAAAATTCCAAGTCCGTAGGAGGCTGGGCAGTTCACATCACAGAGGCTGTGTCCAAGCAGGTGCCTCTGGGGGAGAGAGCTTTTGGCTTTTCACGTCCCAGGCAAAGCTGCCTCCAAAACCTCCAGTTAAAAGGCCCCAGAACTGGCCTCAGAAGGGCCTCAGTGCTCCCAGTGCTGACTCTCTTCATTCCAAAGCAAGGACCCAGCCCAGAGAGGGGCAGAGATCTGCCCAAGACCTCACCATCCTGCCCGGGACTCTTCCCACATGACTTCTAACAAGGCCCAAGCCAGGCACAGCTCAGCTGGAGGAATAAAGGCAGGGCACAGGTCTCTGGGAAAAGGTACAAAGTGACATCATAAAAAGACACCCCCAAGGGGCTGCTGGGTTCAGAGGAAAGAGAGGTCACTTCTTGTGTCTATGGTGGGGCAGGGAGAGGACCTATGGAATAGGACCACTGTGGGGCCACCACCAGCCCTTGGTCCCCATTTTGAACTCTTAGACTTGCTATGACTCTGGGAAAACTATAAAACAGACAAATCCCAAGTGCATCTCCTTGGCCACCCTCCTAGTTCAAGCCCATCCTCTCTCAGCCTCTGAACTGATCTCCTTCACTCTCGTCCCCACAAAGTCCACCCCTACCCAGTGACTAGAGAGATCTTTCATTATAAAATAAATTATACAATATTACTCCCCTGCCTAAAAACTTCTGATAATTTCCCATTGCTCTTGGAAAAAATTCAAATCAAGCATAGCCTACAAGGCCCCAAGTGACCCAGCCCTGCCTACCTCTCCACCTGCCCATCCACCCCACCCCACACTGGCTCCCTGCTGGTGTGGTCACAGCTCCTTCAACAGGCCATGCTTGTTCCTGACTCAGGGTCTGTCACGGGCTCCCCAGAAGCAGAACCTAAGAGGAGGTTCGCGTAAAAGTGACATATTCGGAGGGCCGGCCCCACGGCTCACTCGGGAGAGTGCGGCGCTGGTAGCACTGAGGCCGCGGGTTCGTATGCTATATAGGGATGGCCGGTGCACTCACTGGCTGAGCGTGGTGCAGACCACACCGTGCCGAGGGTTGCGATCCCCTTACCGGTCAAAAAAAAAAGCGACCTATTTGGGGAGTGTCTCCACAAAATGACCATAGGAAAGCATGCAAGAAGGATCAGGAAGGGAGGAGGCCAGGGAGCAAAGACCCCCTAGCTACATCTCACAGAGGGTGGCTGGGACTCAGCACCTCTGGGGAACCCCAGAAACAGTGGAGGTCACTCCTGGAGGCTGTCTCTATCAGGGTCAGGGAGCCGGCAGATGTACTCCCCTGAACCATCAGTCATCGGTTACGGGCTGCCCCCAAGGGATAAGAAAATTTCCAGGTACCTCCTGCTCTCTGTGGAGGGACAGCAGTTCCAGCAGCCCAAGGTCAGTCCCCCAACAAAGAGCCAGTGCAGTGCAGGCGATGGGGAGGAGGAGCGAGCAGCAGCGGCGTCTTTGGGCTTGCTCTTCCTCTGCCTCCTTCCACGCCTCCTCCTTCTTTCATTAAGGTGTCCACTCAAATGTCACTAGCTCCGTCTGCCAAAAATAGCCCTCCCTGCCACACCTTCACTCTTGATTGCCTCACCCTGCTTCAGTTGTCCTCGTGGCCCAAACCACCCTCTGAAACAATCCTGTTCACTGCCTTCTCCTGTGTCTTGCCAGTGTCTCCTACAAGACTGGAGGGCAGGGACCTGACTTGGCTTGTTCACGTCTCACATCCCCAGCACTTAGCACAGGGGACGTTCTGAGCACTTTGTTAGTGCTGCCTGGTACACATCAGGGCAATTTACATAACTGTTTGTTTATTTAAATTGCACAAGCATATGTGTAGCATGTATTATTTCCTCATTTCACACGTTAGGAAACAGAGACTCAGGTTAAATGACTTATTCAAAGTCACATTGCTAGTAACAGGTATGGAACAAGGCATCAAGCCCAGGCCAAATTGTCCAGAGGTTGTGCTTTCAATAATGCTATTCTATCCCCAACTGATCTGCTGCAGGGGAGTTGTCATTATTCTCTAATGATAAGGAAACTGGCTCAGAGAGGTTCCATGGCTTTCCCCAATCCCCAGAAGTGGCGGTAAGTGGAGCTGGGATTCTGACTCCAAAACCTCTTTCCCCACCAACGTGTTACCATGAGCAGACTCCCATGGGCAGCATGAGTGGACCCCCTCGTCTCTCTTCCCCTGGTCCCCCACTGCATGCTCTTAGCCTTCTCCTTTGGTCCCTGGTGATCATTTCTAGCCCA